CCCCCCCCCCCCTCCCAAGTATTTTTTTATACCAAGTCTTTGTGATATATTTGCAGGCCTTATATTTTACCAAATCTAATTATTTTAAGCACATGGCCCTACTGACTTGCTCTAATATTAACTAAAGGCTGTTGGGAGAATGACAAATGAAAAAAAATGCAACCAGAAAATAATTTAGTGGTATATTCTAGGGGTGCACCAATAAAGATTTTCTTGGCCAATACCGATAGTCGATGCTGATCTGATAACCGATATTTAGTAACAGCACAAGGCATTTTAAACTACTGACATAAGTAAACCTTTTTTTGTTTGTTTTGCATTTATAACACACACGCCTCCTACCTACTCTGGCCCTCGATAAGGAAGGCGGTAACCACCTTATTTCCACGTCGCCTCTCACCCACAGCTCCTAATCTGCACCCCACTCCCTGAGCAGCCCATGCTACTGTCCTGGCCAGGCAGGGCGAACCCTTCCATGGACAGTGGCACCAGGTGCGTTTGAAGCCTCAGAGCATGCTGCTGCCTTAGCACCAGCAGGCCCCACGCAGCTGAGCTGAGCTCACATGCCCACTGGGGAGAAGCAACTTTTGCAAAAGCACCTGGCGCACAGCGGAGCAGAATATCCCTCATGCAGCGCCATACCCTGCTTGTGTACAGCCCAACATCTCTGTAGCATTCTGGGTGCTCAGGCCCCTGCTGCATGTGCAACATTGTAATGGTAGCAGCAGCAGCAGCAGCAGCACCCCCTCCCCCTCTTGCTGCTCACTGGGACCTGTAGAATGTCCGGCCACCGGCAGGGTGTGGGATTGGCACAGGGTGATCTGGGCACATGGTCATTACTACTAGCTACAACAACCAAAAAAAACTGATAGCTGATAATGTCATTTCTTCTTTTAACGGTGCCAATTCGATAGCCAACTGATATATTGATGCACCCCTAGTATATTCCAGAGTCTTCAGTTTTCATTTAGATATCTTTACAACCAGATCTCTTGTATGAAATGACAAAATTGCATAATAGAATTCCTTATTTATCACTACTTAAAAGAACAAGAGAATAGAAAGTTTGGCCACAATAATGTAAAGACCCTGGCTCCTTATCTGAAGGAGACTTTTGAGGCAAAGGTAAGAGGGATGAAGCATCACCTTAGTTTTCTACCTCCACTGAATTCAGTGCTCTGGAGAAAAGTCAGTTTAAAATTATAACCTCACAGCTATGAAATCACAGCATATATATAAAATCACTCCTTGATGCAGAATTATTTGAGAATCTAAACTTTCTTATTTTTGGTATCTCTATGCCTTACACTTAGAGATTAAATATGAACTGTGCTATAACTGAACAGCAGGAGAGAAAGATACAAACCACCTAGGTATGTGAACTCTGAATCTTGAAGATGACAATATTAACACTGCTAATTTTTTCACTATTGAGAATTTTAGCAGAAATATACAAGTGACAAATGCTGCATTCCAAATCTCCCACACATCCCTATATGACATGCCCTAAAATCCTAAATTTCCTCTATTATGTTTCCAAAACCTGCTCATTCTCCCCAACTAGTGAGACAGCCAGTAAATGTTACCATCTTACCTCACAAAGCTTCCTCCTGGCATATTCTGTAGACCATCATGGCTATACCACCACCATGATTCTGCTCAGCCACACCAAAGCCCCTGGGAACACCTAATTCCATCCTGGAAGTTATCAACAATCTACTATCATACAGGTATGGAGACTGGGTAACATAAATAGAAGATTACTAAGTGACTGAAATGTTATTTTTAGTTTAATAAAATTCCTTAAGGTATCTGAAACTGCTTAAGAATTTTCCCAAGAATTCCAAAGAACAGGGGTACTCAAACCTTTGCTCATGGGATCAATTTGAGCCCAAGTATTATGTCACCTGACCCATGGGGCTTCTCTGTAGCCCTGAGCACTAGATCAGGCTCATGGATGCAATGCAGATCTCGAACCTGGCATACAAGAGCCAGCTGAGGCCATTCAGGGCCTGGATTGATCCAGTCATGAGGACCTGACCTTGGTGCACAGGGTCCAATCCAGCCTGTGGACCAGCTTCACATCACTCATCTGACCCTGTGGGGCCAAAAAATTGAGCACCACTGCCATAGAATCCAGGACTTTGCATCTTAATTGGGATTCATACTGCTGCAGGATATATAATAACTTATTTGTGAATGTGTACATATCTGCAATCCAAGAAATGGAAAACCACTACTCTTCTTAAATGAAAAGCACCACCTACTAGCACGTCTGCCAAGTTGTTACAACTTCCCTCTGCAGCAATGAAAAGTTACCTTGTGCCTTTTACCTTTCTACTGCTGCCCCCAGCTGATCTGGGCTTGAGGGTGGAGGGGCCTTGAGCTGCTGTAGCTGTGGGCTACAACTGCAGTGTGCACATTCTTCCTTCCAGCGCCTGTTCCCTGCTCGCCTCCTTCCCCTGCCACCTACAAGTATCTATCCCCCCACTGATCAGGAACAGGAGCGGAAGCAGGGACCTGAACACCGCCAACTGTCCCTAGATGATGCAGACATGAAGTGGCTCCAGAGCCACTCCACAGCTGAAGGCTGCAGGGAGTGGGCTACAGGGGGAGTCAGGTTCTGCCAGGGATGGCAGCGGTAGTGCATAGATTCCTCCTTCTAGTGCCTGTTCCCAGTTGGGGGGGGGGGGAGAAAGGGTGTAGGTAGCAGAGACCAGGGGCTGGGAGGAGAAAACTGAGTATCACTGCTGCTGTCCCCAGGTGAGCCCAGCACTCCATACAGCTGC